CGATACATTGTAATTAAATGGTTGACTTGTCCGAGGACACGCCCATCAAGACTGGCCTCCCCGTGCTCCAAGGCCTCGTGGCTGTCAGTCAGCCGAGGGAGACACCGAGGCACACGAGAGGGATCCGGAGGCTCAGGAGGCCAAAGCCTCGGCAGCCAGCCCGCAAGCAGCATACCGTGCCCTACAACACGATATTTCTAGAAGCTTACTCAGATTCCGCAGAATTCCAACGGAAGTTAAATTCAAATAGAAATCGTGCCTCCAGGCCAACAAGCCCCAAACGGGCAGCCACCCACTGGCGCCCCTGGGGGACTCGCATCCAGTGCACACAGAGCTTTCTTTCGCCAGCGCGCTTATAGCAGAGGGGAGGTTTAACTAAAATGGTCTCAGCTTAAGAGCTAAAATGGGGAACTTCGGATCTATTCAAATGGACTTTTCTGCATACACGACTGGAAAAAGCCAGCTCTAAAATTAAATGAAATGAATGGGAAGCTTACTTTGTTTGAAAATGAGGAGCCTCGTGACAAGGCACAGGTAACCTTTCTCCCCTCCAGGAAGTTAATTTAAAATTTTAGAGGCTGTCTCAATTAAAAAGGGCCTCCAAAGTTACTCGCTGCCAACTGCCTACTCCTCCCCTTTCCCAGCGACCCCCACTGTGTCGTCTCCTCTCTGAGCCCCACTGTGTGGACTGACCTCCCTTCCTCCACCTCTCCCCTTTCTTCCCTCTCTTCTCTGCTGCCCTCGCCTTCCCCGACTAAAAAAGAAACTAAAACATAACCAAACCAGGACAAACTAGAAAGACCAGAAATTCTGGTGTCTCCCTTTAGGGAAAAGCCAGTCTCAGGAAGGGGAGAACCAGCAATTATTTATACTGCTTTGATTAGGACAGAATTAAGAAATGTAACTAAAGATGCTCCTGATCCCCTCCACGACCCCATCAGACTGGCTAAGGGATTGAACTATGAGAACCCCTAATTCCGGCTTTTCAGACGGGTCCCAAATGATAACGCCTATTCGCTTCTGAGAGTAAAGCAACACAATAGTTAAATAAACCTTTGGGGAAAAAACTTGTAGAAGATTTTTTTTTTTAAAGACAAAGAGAAACAGACCAGGATAAGCGCAGGGGATTAGCCAATGGGTTTCACCAAGTCATTTCTGGGATTTTCCCCCCCAAGAGAGACTGGGCTAAAATCCAGCAAGGTAAGTGGAGACATAATGAAACCACACTTGATTTCTTTGAACACTTTAAGAAAACTTTCAAACAACATCCAGAGCTGACTCCAGACAATTTTAATGATCATCAAAATTATCCATTTCTCAAGTTGCCGTTTTTTGGAAGGATCGGGTGAAAAGTTTGTGATTTCGATTAAACAGCATAAATTAAACTGGCCTATGATGCATACTAATAAGCTAGCAGTTCTGACTTATCAACTACCTACAGCTATTCAAGAGGAGGAAAAGGATAAACCTACTAAAATCATGAATTTACAGCTCCAATAATTAAGGGGTTGGGCCAGGCCTTCCCAAAGCACTCCGAACAAGGGGACAGAGAGTCTGCTTTTACTGTAACAAGCCAGGTACCGTCAGAAGGACGGAAGAAAACAGAAATAGCTTTTAGAAAAAGAAGGAAAACTGAAGCAAGCCCAGGACTGCTCTGAAGGTTACAAGGGCTCTTCCTCTTCTCCCTACCAATACGTTAGGGGAAGCTGAAGTTATCATAAAGGGGAAACCTACCAAGGCTCTTAAACCTACCAGGCCTACTTTACCTGTTGTCCACCCCGCCCAGTTAAATTGCCCTACTCAGAGTGGAATTTCCATACAAGTCATAGGAACAGCTAACCAGTCAGCATCTGTTTTTAATCCAGACCCCTTTGCCTTTCAGCTAGGGAATGGTAGGGGGAACACAGAGTTTTACTAGTCAAATCTGCCCAAGTTCACCCGATAGGACAAGACTTCCTTGCAACTCAGGACACCCACGCATCCTTTTCTCAAAAGGGCACATGCAGCCCTGACCATACGGCTCAGCTGGCTGGAGTGTCATCTCACACACCCAACGGCCGCAGGTTCAATTCCGGGTCAGTTAAAAAAAGGCGAGGGGAGGGGCGGCAAACGTATTTAGAAGTCAATGAAATCAGGCATTGAATCGATTGAGAAATAATGATTTTAAAGAGGCCTCAAAAAGAGGAAACTAATCTTGGGGCTGAACATTTACTACAGGATGTCCTTAGAGAGCTCTGAGGTCTTTCCAGTATGGATGTTGGCAAGAGGAAGTTAGCTACTCCTGTCAAAATAACCATTGACAGTACTTTGCCTCTACCTAGTATGTGTCAATGTCCTCTGAGACCCAATGTGCTGGCCATAATTAAGATTATAAAAGATCTATGAATGATTACTCAAATAGAGAGCTTATAACTCATGCACAGGTCCCTACAATACTCCTTCCAGTAAAGAAATCCAATGAGAAAGGAGAAGAATTTGTACAAGATCTTAGAACTACAACAGAATTGTTATTCCCAGACATCCTATGGTCCCAAATCCATACATGCTATTATCTGTCTTTCCTGTGGATTTCCAGTGTTGTTCAGTAATAGAGTTATGTAGTGCCTTTTTCAGCATTTCTGTAGAAAAGGACAGTCAGTATCTTTTGGCCTCACTTGGGAGGCTCCCGGTCACTGGGGCTGTAATGCCCAGGGATGTACAGAGAGCCCCACATGCTTCTCTCAAAAGCTAAAGGTTGATTTAAATGATATTGAATTTCCCAGAGATTCCATTCTGACCCAGTGTGGGGGTGATTTACTTTTATGCTCCAGGACATAATTAGACTTCCGAGAGGGACAATTTATTCATTCCAACATCTAGTCATTAAGGGACATAAGGTCTTGAAAGACAAGCTTCATTTCTGTTTACCCCAAGTGAAATACCCTGGCCACCTTCTAACTGGCTACCAGTTAACCCTAAAAGACTCATAGGAATTCTAACCTCTCCTCTTCCAAAGTCTAAGAAACAGCTTGGGGGATTTCTAGAGCTGACTGAATACTGTTGCAACTGGGTCTCAAATTTTTCATTAATAACTCATCCTCTACCTGGATTATTAAAATCAGATCAGCCTGATCCAATCCAGTGGACTCACCAAGGGAAACAAGATATAGAAGCTCTAAAGAGGAGCTATCTAAAGCTCCCACTTTGGGAGACTCTTAAGTATAAATTTCCTTTCTTTTTAAACACAAAAATAAAGGACAGGCTTTAGGAGTTTTAACTCAGATACGTGGAGATCATGATAGACCCACAGGAACTAGAGCCAACAATTAGACTCAGTAGCAAAAGGGCGCCCTCACTGTATGCAGGCCATCTCTGCTGAGCCATATTGTGGGCTGTACTTGAACCATTCATTCTCCTCCTGTCGAATTTTTACTAAACTCTTACCACACTCATGGTTTCCCGGTTCACTGATTGGCTTTCTGCATCTGATATCACTTTTCTTTCTTTTTTGTAAAAGATTTTATTTATTTATTTTTAGACAGAGGGGAGGGGAAGGGAGGAGAAAGTGAGGGAGAGGAACATCAATGTGTGGTTGCCTCTCACGCGCCCCCTACTGGGGACCTGGCCCACAACCCGGGCATGTGCCTGACTGGGAATTGAACTAGCGACCCTTTGGTTCACAGGCCAGCTCTCAATCCACTGAGCCACATCAGCCAGGGCTGATAACATTTTTCTCAATGTAACAGTCTTAACCCAGCAACTTTACTACTTTCTTTACAGAACGAAGAAACCCGTAAGTGCACTTTCAGGAATGATTTACAGGGAACCCCTACTGATAATGCTGACTTAATTTGGCTGCAGATGGATCTTATCTAAAAGAGGAACAGGGGCATCACCAAGCTGGATATGCACTAACTTCCCTGGTGGACATAATTGAGAGTCCTCATCGACTGAAATAAGATCTACTTCAGAAGCTGGACTCATGGCTCTAACTCAAGACTGTTGACTGGGCAAAGATCAAATAGCCACTATATATTTTTTTCTGCCTGGCCTTTAAAAAAATTAAATTATTGTGGTGACAGGAGTGAATGATATTATGCAAGTTTCAGGTGTACAATCCTGAAATGCATATCTGAATAGTGCATTGTAGCCTCACCACCCAAAGTCTAGTCTCTTTCTGTCACCATTTGTTGGACCCCCTTCACCCCCTTCACCCTCCACCCACTCGCGTTCCCCTCTGATAACCTTCATACTGTTGTCTGTGTCTATGAGCTTGTTTCTTTCTTCCTTTTTTGCTTTCTGTTTTATATGCCACATATAAGTGAAATCATATGGTTCTTGTCCTTTTAAATCTGACTTCTTTTGCTAAAAACAACCAATATTTATACTGATAGTCTCAATGCCTTTGGTGTAGTTCATGACTTTGGAATATTATGGACATCTACCCCGTCTCTGACACTTACTTCCACCTATATTGAACGTCAAAAGCTCCTTGAAGATGAGAGGCCACCAAGAACTGAAGTAAAGTCCTGTTCCCAAGAAACTGGACCAGGCCTATGTCACGCCAGCCTTCACAGGCTGCCAACCGTCTAAACCAGGCTTGAATTTCTCGCCTTTATCCCTTGCTGATCTTGGTTTATATCACAGGAAGGTTATCAAAGGTGAAAACAAACCCAACTGGCTCCCTCTCCCTTGCTCTCTCTTTCATTACTCTCTCTAATACTTAAAAAGATTTTAGGTAAAACTTTCCCAAAGTTCTGCTAAAGGGGGAAATCTAAGTGATTGTTGGATATGTCATTAAATTCCCAAGTCGATAAGAAACTAATACTTACCATCAGTTGCACCTGTTACCAACTTTGATACCATGTGCACTATCTTCCCATGCTTACAACCCACATCCAACTTCACCTTTCAGGTAGAAACTATTCAAGGACCAGGAACATCCATCCCTTGCTTTTCACTATCCCCTGTCATCACCAAATTTGAATTTAACTCTGCTCCCTCCCTGATTCCTTTCTTACTTGATCTCTAAATATCTATATGACAAAATTGAAAAGAAAAATATAACCAAATTATGTAAACTTGTTCTTTCCATCCAGTATCACTTCGATGGATTTTAGAAAACATGTATAATAAATCGTTTCACCCTTGATTGAAAGGGACTCTCTCAATGATACCTATGAATGATCCATAGACAAAGATACTCAGGTTGGGGGTGGGGAGTTGTGCCTCACCCAAGTTTGATTTTATGTGTGGCATAGGAGAAGATGCCTCTACTAAAGGATGGGCACATTGATGTTTAGACGGTTGGCAGATGGAGGGACTCTGTTTGGGGGGCAATTCATCACTTGTTTATCTACTCATAAGAATCCCCCAGCTTTCCATAGGACACTCTATTTTAACAAAGAGCTGTTTTGACAGAAGCAAAAACAGATCATAAGGCCTTAAAGAGAAATGCTGGTCAGTTCTCATGACAGTTTTAGATAAAGTAGACGTGGCATGCTAATCCCAAGAGCCAGAATATATATCAATATGTATATGTTTGAAATTGTATCTGCCACCATCAGAAAATTGCTAAGGAGATGGCTAAGGCTATTGCTGTGCCACAAAAGTTTCTAAATTCTCTTGCTTGGGTTGTCCTTGACAATCACATAACCCTTGACTATTTGCTGGCTATTGATCATATCACCTATTCTACATATACAAACACCTCCAGGAAAGTAGAGACTTAATTACAAAAGGTCTCTCAACAAGCTAAATGGCGACAGGAAGTAAGAAAAGATGACCCACTACATGACTTATTTAGCTGGCTACCTTAAGGATTAAGAACATTGTTTTGATTTCTATTAAAGAGTGTAATAATGATATTGGTAGGTTTGCTGATCCCTTTTGTAGCATTCAAATTCAAAGCCTATTGTTCTTCCCACTGCTTGAAATCAGCTGCTCTTACTAAAATTATGGTGGCACAATAATAGAGATGATGTATCAAGCACTATGTCCTTTTAATTAGGAACGATTTGAACTCTTTTTTTGCTATACATAAATTGCTTGCATATCCTTTTGGGTCAAGGAGATATGGACTAACAAGGCTCATAAGTCTGACTACCTTTTTCCAATTGCATTTGATTTACTAATTAATGCCTGTATGTTACTCAGTAAGATCTGTTATCCATGTTAATGCAAATGGAATCTGAAATGGCTATAAGACAATGGCCAATTATAATGAGTGTAAGGACCTGTAACATTCTTAGGGTCTCCAAGAGCTTTGGAATTTTTAAATGGAAAATGTAACTTATAACACTATGTCAGGCATCTGGCTAAATCCTAAACTAAAATTTTTGACAAGTCAACTGGCAGGTAAAAAAAACTATTCTCAGTAACACTTTCCAGTGGGAAGTAGATGGGCCATATTAAAGAAGAGGACAGTACATGGGAACTCATCTTATTATCAGATTACAAAAATCAAAGAGGTAAACGGTTATGCCCTCAAACTGTGTGAAATTCTGAATTCGCCCAAACCTGTCCTATTGCATCTATACCAACAAATAACATCCTATGGTACATGGGAAAGGGTCATTTTTGTTGGAAAGGCTTAGAAAATTCCTCTGTTATTCTAAGTCACTTCTATTGTAATTACACTAAATTTATATTTAATGCTACAGGAATATGGTATAATACAGAGATTATAGGTAAAGAACTTTACCTGAGGCTAATAAAACATATTAACACTGAAAATCAAATGTACCAGGAAATTGAACTCAATTCTCTCCATGAAGTTATTTCTATGGAAACTGGCCAGGAGAAAAATAAGAAATTTTAGATCACAACATAGCTTAAAGTCTTCATCCATTGGGCCAAACCTCTCACAAAGTGCAGATGGCAATCGGCGAAGGAGGAAAACACAGTATTATTTTGGTAAAATCCATGGTAACACATGTAAAGTGTTCTTTGGCTGGGATGTTTACTTCCCTCAAGCTTATCCTGACCTAAGAGCAGTCATATCTTCTCTTTAATTCATGTTATTGGACTACTGTTATTATCCCTCTTCTTGTTCTGTAAGTGTTACATTAGAGGCAGAAGGAGGAAGGGTAAAGTAGACAATAAAGCTCGGGTCACGACAGCTCACAGGTAGAAATGACCCGCAAGGCTTGTCGTAGTGACGGCCCACAGGACCCACTGCCTCCCATTGACCTGCCCTTTCCTCTTCTGGGAAAACTAGGCCTTAATCCACAGGCCATAGTTTTAGTCTTGTCCCATTCCCGACTGCCCATATTTCAGTAAGAGAACACGGACACTAAGGTGTCCTAGGAATGAGCCTTCCTAGCACCGTGGGACCACATTACCCCCTAATGGTCTGTCATTAAGGCATCATCCAAGTGATTTAGGACCCCAAGGGGAAATTGTAAATGAACGGGTGGCTCCCTGGTAGGCCTGACAAGCACAGCACCTGACGGTCACCACGTGGGATGTTCTGATCACAAAAATTCCTAGTCGAGCTGGTCATACAAGGAAGCATGTCCTAGGCCCACGTGATAGAGTGACCTTCACCTTGAGGAAGCCCTGTCCTTGGCTCTGTGCATCTAGAGCTGCATGCTTGAGACGTCAGAATGATCTCTCCTCCAGGCCTCCGGAGATACACCACCCGGTACCAGGGGCAGATGACCGCAGCATTCCTCATTGTTATCTTTGTTTTTTACTTTTTTAATTGAATGTATTGGGGTGACATTAGTTAATAAAATTACGTAATTTCCAGGGGTATAGTTCTATATGTATCATCTGTATGTTGTATTTACCACCCCATGTCATTTATCCCACTTTACCCACTCGACCTCCCCCACCCCCTTCCCCTCTGGTTAATCACCATATTGTTGTCTGTGTCTATGAGGGCTTTTTGGGGGGGCTTAATCCCTTTAACATCTTCACTCTTCCCCCAGCCCCCTCCCCTCTGACAGCTGTCTGTTCTCTATATCTATGGGTCTGTTTCTATTTTATCTATTAGTTTATTTTGTCTGTTAGATTCCATATATAAGTGAAATCACAGTATTTGTATTTCTCTAGCGTATTTCACTTGGCATAATTCTCTGCAGGTTCATCCATGCTGTTGCAAAATGTAAGATTTCCTTCTTTTTTACAGCCAAGTACTATCCCATTGTATACACGCACCACAGCTTTTTTACCCACTCATCTACTGATGGACACCTGGGCTGCTTCCATATCTTGGCTACTGCAAATAATGCTGCAGTGGACATAGGGGTGCATATGGTCTTTCAAATCAGTGTTTCAGTTTTCTTCGCATATACTCATATACATAATGGAATATTACCCGGCCATAAAAAAGAATGAAACCATGCCATCTGCAACAGCACAAATAGACCTAGAAAGTATTGTGCTAAGTTAAATAAGTCAGACGGAGAAAGATAAATACCATATGATTTCACATGTTTGGAATCTAAAAACCAAAATACATAAACAAGAAAAACAGAAGTCAAGTCACAGATAAAGAACGTTATGATGGTGGACAGATGGGAGGGGTGATGAGGGGATGAGTGACAAAGGCGAAGGCGCTGGGAGCACAGCTGGGAAGCCGCAGGGGAGTCGCGGGGCTGGGAAGCCCGGCGCGGGAACGCGGTCAGCAGCAGCGCGGCCGCGGCGCACGGCGGCAGGCGGGCACTAGACCTACCGGGGCGACCGCTCCCTAAGCTATAGAGATCTCTAATGACTAGAGATCTAATGACCTGAAACTAATACAATACTGGTGTCGACTGTAACTTAACATGCAAATTACATTAAAAATAAAAATAAAAAATGAGACTGGTCCGGAGGCCACTGGGAAGGAAAGATGATCGGGGCGGCCCCTCTTCTCTGACTCCTCTGACACCGCAACGAACCCTATTGTTGTTGTTGTTGTTGTTGTTACTGGCCCCGCTGCACACAGTTTGACGATGCCAGTAAAAGCCTGGGTGACGTTAGAGGGATCGCGTCTGGCCCATGAGCCGCTGCTCCCCAGGACCCCAGGCACCGGCGCAAGAAGGCAGCTGCGGCTGCTTTTCCTGACTCTTCCCGAAAAAGTCAGTGGGGCACTTTCACAAAATTCTTCGCCGAAACAAAATATGATTTCAAAGTAGTGAACTTATGGGGCAGAAAAGGACGTCGCCGTGGTCCGTGACCGGTGAGCAGGCTTTCCCGTTCTGCAGACGAGGCTCAGGAGGCTGTGGGCTCGTGGTGAGGGTCAGGGTCCCCGCCCCCAGGGACTCGGCAGAAGTGCCCGTCCCCCAAGGAAACAGGCTAGGAGCGGCACAGAACTGGACGAGTTTTGGGAACTGTGGTTTCCCCCCCTGCATTTTAACCCCATATAAAGAGGTTATAACTGGATGTGAGAGAGTGGAATGAGGATTTTCCTTTAGGAAGCAGAACCTTTGGAAAAATGGGTCAGGCTGGCTGGCTGAGCAAGGGATGGCCCACCCGGGCAGAAGCCAGTCTTACCCACGGGAGGGGTAACTAGTCTCGGGCACCACAACAAACCCTCAGGTGATAAGTGAGCCACAAACATCGCTTATATTCAGCAGTAACCCTTGAAACACATTTAAAATTCAATCCCTCGGGTAACCTTTAGCTTCTGGGTTCTTTGGTGCCTGTCATTTTCGGGATCAAAGGCAACACTCTGCCCCCACCCCCGACCCCGTCGTCGTGGGCGTGCTGAGCGGACGCCAGGCCCGGCCCTCTGCCTGCGGAGGGCGTCTAGGGGCTGAAACACACAGCCGGTCTACTGGATTCGGTTCGGCCTTGGAGCCACGGGGCTCCAGTCTCTAGAAAGGGCTGGGTTCCGTTCATTTCAGGGGTTCGTGTTAGTCCTCAGGGACCTAGATTGTTCCCAAGGAAAATGGGAATGGACAATGTTTTCTCTTTCAGAATCGGTACTTGGAGGTCACACTACTAATTACTGTAAATGCCCTACATGCTCAGGAGACCCAATTTTACAACAGTTATGTGAACCAGATACTGCAACTAATGTTTGAGTACGCCAAA